TGTTACTCCGTTAGCACTTCACGTGCACTTGATTTTTTTGATAATCTTTCCTTAACTTTTTTCCGCCCAGTTATCAATCTTGTCATTAATGTATCGAGAGGGGCTCGATTTTATTCATGTCTTTATTGCCCCGAATATCATCCATTCACGTCGAATAATATTTAAATCATCGTTTTTCAATTAATTCTTCATGAAAAGCTCGTGTACACGCGATAATTCAAAAGGATTTGAGAACAAAAGGGGGATTTCCTATAGCTATACGAGTGGTTTCAAACTTTTCGCATAAATCTACCGAAATCAATTGACTGTCTGAACTACTGAGATTCATTCGATGGCCAATTTTCCCCGGAATTGATTTTCCAATTACCAATTCTGCCCATGGAAAATACTGATGCACACGATTGAAAATTTTTCGACTGAAACTTCCTGTACACTTTTTGCAAATTTTTATCACGTTAAAAGTCCCTTGAACGTTAAAAATTTTATTAATCCATGGAATTTGGCTGAATTTTCCGGAGAAACTTCTTGAATTTTCCTGATTTTTCATTAATTTTCATGGAATCATTGAACTGAAATTTCCAGTTCTCACGGATTTTTCCATGAAATTATGAATTGTAAATGACAAAATTCCTCGAAATTTCAGTCGACATGTTAGTTGTTGTTATTAGGGGTTCAGATACTGGGACATGAGCGGTTCAAATACTGGGAAAACTGCTTCAACGAATCGTTAAATCACTACACAAAAAGTATTTTTTTTTTAAATTTCCTAGATTTTTTCCACAACTTTTCTTCAACTTCTTTCGCTCTCCCAAATCCCCAAAAAATTCCTTTATCAACTGTCATATCGGAAAAATAGGGGAAACGCAGCAGAAATCTGGGCGAAAATATTAGCATTCAGATCGCCTGTCGTGAACTTCCTGAAAATAAAACGCTCATTGACGATCACGAGACGCCTCCATTGTCGTTAATGGCGGTCCATTGTTGTACCTCTGTACACCGTCATGTGGTAAAACTGGGCATTGAGTTGAAGGAAACAATAGAGTACCACCGGCTATTACCCGTATACTGGCAATATCCATAGTTGAATTGTCACGAGTTTTTCAATGAAGTTTCATAGTATTGACTGCACCATCACACGACGTTTCAACGATCCGCCTGCCTCGGACTATGAATTTTACGAGATTTCTACTGCTGTGTTAAGAGATATAACTCGCCTACATATGTTTGAAATCGATGAACGGGAAAATAATGTGTTGAAATCGATATTGTTTTTTTTTATTGAGGATATTTTCTTCAATTTAGTGGAATAAAGAATAAAATGAAGTGAGAAAATAATTTATTTCATTTCATTCTTTAAGTTTGGCATCAAGTCGAGAGGTTTGAACTAATATAAAATTTTCGACTAATAGAATATCTCCAAATCAGACATAGTCAAATTTATAATATTAAATTATGTTTGAATTTTGCATTTAAAATCAAGTAATCAATGGAAAAAAATTAAAAATACTCTATAAGTCAGTATTCATTCTAAATAAATTTACCACTACTTAATCAGTTTCCAAATCGGTAATTTGAATTACTGATTACTTTGTCAATCATATCCCTAAATGATAATTAACAATGAACAGTAATTTTTTCCATTAGCATTTTTAAATATAACAAAAAGTGATGATTAATGCCAATTTCTACTCCAAATATGAAAAAATCACTTGAATTCTAATGGAATAGCAGACGTCCTGCAATTAACACAACCCTTATGTCCATTTTCCAACTCCAAAGCCCAGATTTGATAAACAACAAAAAAATATTAAAGATATTTCCATTTATTAAAAAAAAATTAAATTAATTTAAAAAACAATTTTTTTTTATTGTGTTCAATTTTCGTGGTCAAGTCATGCGGTTTAACCAATACAAAATTTGTACAAATTGTCCCCCCACAGTTGAATAAACAAATTTGACTATAGAAAATCACTGCATCAGGAATAGTTTAACTTATATCAAATTATGATGGAATTTTTACAATAAAAATCAAGTAACCAATTTAAGAAAATTTGAAAATACTCTATGAATTAATAATCATTGTACATAAATTTACCACTTCTCATGCATTTTCCAAATGGATAATTGGAATTACTGATTACTGTGTTAATCGCATCTCTAAATGACAATTAACAATCACACTAATTTTTTGCACTAACAATTTTTAAATATTAAATATTTTTAAAATGAAAATCATCATTTTTATATAATAATTTTAAAAGTAATAATTAATGCCAATCCCTGTTCCAAACATTAAAAAACCACTTCAATTTTAATGAAACAGCAGATGTCCTGCAATTAACACAACCGCTATGTCAATTTTCTACCTCCAAACCCTAGATTATATACACAACGGAAAATCACGCTTGGTTAAATCCGGTTTGCATGCAATCCAAGACTAGCTCCAGCGATAAAAATTCATCTCAATATTGTGCATGCACTGTACCTGGTTGCTTTCCCCCCCAAAAGTGAGAGTGGGCAATGCAATTTGGATGGAGAACAAACGAAGAAACTTGGATTGAGTGAAAAAAAATGTACTGTTTCGCGCTAGTGGAGAGGAAGGTTTCGGTTTTTATCGGCCAGAGTGGGAGGCAATAGTCGAGTTGAGATAAATTTATGGACCGAGTGTGCGGGACGTAAGGGCTCGCATATTTTCATTCGCCTACGCGGAAGTCTCTCTCTCTCTCGGTCCGCTGTGGAAGATCGACCACCAACGCAAAAATGTTTTGTTTTTTCGATCGAATTTTCGCAAAAAACGTCTTGTTTAAAATGTAATTATCTCGGTATTGAGTGGTTTTAGGGAAAAATGCCATAAAAGATTTTCTGTAGAAAATTTTATTGGTCGAAAAAAGTTCTTAACATATTTTTTCGTGAAATGATTCGTTATTGAGATAATTACGAAATTAATAAAATTGAATTTTTCAACATGAAATTTTTTTTTGTGGAAATCGTCTCGTTTAAAATGTAATTATCTCGGTAATGAGTGGCTTCAGGTGAAAATGTAATAAGAGATTTTCGGCAGAGAATTTTATTGGCCGAAAAAAAGTTTTTGATACATTTTTTCGTGGAATTATTCGTAGTTGAGATAAATACGAAATCAACAAAATTAAATTTTTCATGGATAAATTTTGTCATTTAGTCTCTTATCTTTCGTTTCATCATTTAACTACATACATAATTTAATGGAATGAGTGTGAATGGTTGGTCATTGCATCGATCATTATTCTGGCGAATTATTCCAGGGATATGTGAATAAATTTGATAAACGAGGAATATTGGTTATTTGTACACTCATTTTCTAAAAATATGTTTTTAAAATTGAATTTCCAATGTATAAATTATATTTTTTTCATCCTTTTTGCAGCTGAGAATATTTTATCAGTTAACTGCGCGCATAAATTAACGGAACGAGCGTGAATCATAGTTGATCACTCTATCGATTATATCATTCTATCGATTATAATTCCAGTTTATGTAAATGAATTCCATAAATAAGAAACTTATTTTGTTGTTTTATCTCACACAGGTTTTATATAGAATTTGATGTTTTATAAAACAGTTTCAAGACATTTTTTCGAAGATATAATGATAAAATGAAAAAAGTGAATTTTTCATTTCAAAAATTTCAGTCATATTTTGTTAATGTATTCATTATTCAGGACATGTTATCATTTCACTAAATGAATAATGTCATCCAGAAGTATAAATTATTACTGATAATGGCATCAATAACAATTCTACTCAATTATCCCTGAGACATGGATGAATTTGGAAATATTATTTAAAAATAGTTATCCCTTATAAAAAAACTTATTTCAACATTTTTATTTCAATCCACTCTCCGCAAGGATTGTTACGCAATAATAAAACCAGGACTAGCAGAACCCACGTTTTCCCCATTACTATTCTTTTTCGAATCGACAAACCAATCGATAAACTGCGTTAAAAAATCCATAAAAACGAATAAAAAAAAACATTTGATAATTACCAGTCTCATGATATTTTTCATAGAAATAATGATAAAATGACAAAAATTGAATTTTTCATTAAAAAAATTTTAGTCTCCTATTTTATTAAGGTATTCATTATTCAGGATATATTATCATTCAACTAAATGAATAATCTCATGCAGAAGTATTAATTATTACTGATCATTCTACTCAATTATCCCTCAGGCATATGAATGAATTTAGAGATATTATTTTTTAAAAAACTCATTTTACGTTTTCATTTCAATCCACTCACCGCGAGGATAGTTACGCAATAATAAAAACTGGAATAGCAGGACTCACGTTTTCCCCATTACTATTCTTTTTCCAAACTCGATATTTTATAAATCCTTAATTTATTCATCAGATATAAATCATTCTCGATCTGAAATCCATAATAATTCCCCTGAATGATCCTAGGGACGTGACAATATCAATGTCAATACATTTTCCTAATCTGCATGGCTTCCCCCAATCGATAAACAGAATTAAATAATCAATAAAAAACGAATAACAAAAAACAGAAACAGCATTCGGTGCAACAGTAGATAATTACCATTTAACACTCGATCGGTGATTCGTATTGCCTTTCAACGCTGCTCCTGCCCTTCACTTTCCTACGTACTGAAATCCTTTATAATGGTTTTTAATGCCAGTGTGTGTTGGATGATAGTTGTTACATACGAAACCGTTCCACAGCCAATCGTGTATCATGGGTGAATCAATTTATGCACAACGATGAATGCAACCGATGACATTTCCCACTGTTTTCCACGCATTAAAGGTTTCCAATGTCTCCCTCTCGTTTTACGATTAATTATCCTATAGTCATGGCCTATATTTCGACCACTGGGTGTGCCCTTGCCCCGCGCCATATGCGAAAACAATTATTGAGTTGAATGGGCTAATCTCTATGATTAATCTCTTGGATTTAATTCAATTAAAATTGCCTTTTTTCGTATCGTGTTTCAGCTTGGGTGCTTGGACGCTTCATGTGCAAAACCGTTTCTTATGTCCAGGGAGTCTCCGTTGCTGCTTCTGTATACAGTCTTGTTGCTGTTTCGTTGGATAGGTGAACAAATTCATTTATTTATACATTTTATTGGATTTATTTATGCATTTTTTTGTTTTACATGGAAGACTTTACAGGAAAATGCAGAAGAATTTTTCCTTTACCTTATGAAATCTGCAGTGGAAAATTCATTTCAACATTTTTTTCTCATTGAAAATTGGTTATTATCGATAGATAAGAACAAATATAGAGGGAAAATATATTTATATTTATATTATATTCTAAAAAAAGAGGAAAAAATAAAACATTATGATTATATTTTGCGGAAAAGAATTATGATCATTTTATATAATAATTATAATTAATTTATAATATAGCGGGGGAACAATTAATTGAAATGCACGGAGAGAAATTTACAGTTTCCATATATTTTGCCATAATACAGCGGATTTTTAATGACTAAATCCCTTGAAATTTCAGTAAAACTATAACGCGACGAAAATTTTATTTTAAATCTGAAAAATATAGAAAGTTTACTTTTGGCGGAGGATTGATGGAATAATTTAAAAATTGCAATTTTTTAAAATTACGGGCATTTTCTATAAATAATTTATAAACAATCAATTTGCATCACCAAAATAGTTCGAAATCGTAACAAATTCATTCGGATTTTTACTAGAAATTATTATCGCGCCTAAAAAAATCATTATTTATAAACAACGAATGTTAACGAAAATAATAATACATGCAATCCCTAATCCATTGAAAATACAAAACTGAAATTCCCAAAAATAACACTTTCATCCTTGATTGAAAAAATGTCCCTGGAAACGAGAAAATACATAAAGTTCATTCAACACCTGCTGTGGTCTGAGGACAGAATGAAGTGCCTTGAGGTTGAGCTATCAAGGGTCACAATACTCATGGTTATTTTCCCCGAAACTCTAGAGGTCAAGGTCCACCCTGCCCCGCCAGACAGGCGAGAGGGGGTCTAGAAGGACGCGACAGAGGAAACGGAAAATTCCATCTCCCGTTTGTTCTCGACCGCCTCAAAAACTACTATCCTGAAGGGGCGGGTGGGGGTGAGTTGAAGAGAGCGGGCGAGACTGGCAAAGTGCCCTCCCACACCGGAAGAGAAGCTCCGGCTGTATTCCGCCATTGACTTGAAAAAAGTGGGAAGAGAGGGCTTGCATAGATGGCAAATATCGCTCTCGGTGCCGGGTTGGGCGGTTTCCTCGTAAAATCTTATGTCGGGTGGACGATCCGGTGAAATTTGCCGAGCTTGCTGGACCCTCATAACATCTCTATTTCTCAATGGAGAAAATAGCCGAGGGAGAATATTAAATTTTTTTGGGAATTGATTTCTTTTCGTTTTTATTTATTTATTTATTTATTCATTATTTTTTTCATCATTTTTTTTATATTCCTCTTTTTTACGTCCTATGATAAAATAGAGCAGGGTAGATGCTTTTGCTCTGAGAGAAAATACCTAAAAAAAAATTATTGCGTTCTTGACGGAGATTGAGTTATGAAGAGGGTTATAACGGAGCCTTTTTTTAAAGTGACAATCTTAATTCCTAAAGAATTGCAAAATAAAAAACGATTTTAGAGAATTAACTTGATGGGATGAAAAATCCCTAATGGTCAAACAAAAAATAGAAAAGGGAGAATATTAAATTTTTGGAATTGATTTTTTTCATTTTTATTTATTTATTCACTGCTTTTTAATCATTTTTATATTTTCCATTTTTACGCCTGATCATAAAGTAGACGATGGCATATGGCTTTTGGTACGAGTTAAGCTAATCTCCAATAATCTTTCTGCAGACATAAACTCTGAGGAATACTAAAAAAAACAATCATTGCATTCCTGATGGAGATTGAGTTATGAAGACGGTCATAGCGGAGCCCTTTTTCTATTAAGAGGGCAGGAGAGTAAAAAAAACTACTGAAATGCGAGCAAATCTGACCTCCATAAATTTTCTTCGTTTGGTGAGTTCGGAGGCTCAAAAGTTATCACCACCAAATCCTTAGCACTGCGAAAGTGTTATGGAACAAGTTGAGGGTGATCTGAGGAGGATAAATAATTTTAAAAAATGTTTGAAAGTACGAGGTGGCTGACAGCTGTGAGCGCCGCCATCTTGGAAATCCCACGGAGTCCGGGGAGGGGGTATCCAAGCATCATGGCGGGGCCCAGACCTGTTAACTACCTCGTATTTTTAATAATTTATTAAAATATTCAATTTCCTCAGACCACCCTCAACTTGGTTCATAACACCTTCATGGTGCTAAGGATATAATGGTGAAAACTTTTGAGCCTCGGAATTCACTAAACGAGGAGAATTTATGGAGCTCAGATTTAGCCGCATTTCGGTAGTTATTTTATCCTCCTACGGTCTTAACAATTTTAATTTCTCAAAAATTGCAAAATAAAAAATGATTTTATAGAATTAACTACATAGGACAAATATTCCCTAGTGGTCAAACAAAAAATAGAAGACGAAGAATATTAAATTTTTTGGGAATTGATATTTTCCATTTTTATTTACTTTTTCATTACGTTTTTCTAATTTTTTATATTACATATTTTTATAAACAGCGATCGATAATTATTTATATTGTTTACAATAAAAGGAACAACAGGAGAACTAAGAATTCTTACTGAAATGAAAATAGAAAGAAGAAATGAATTATTTACGATTGAAAGGAAACAATAAAAAACCAATGAAATGGTTTTTTTATTTAACTATATATTATGAAGTAAATAATTGCATAACCAAAAATGACAGTGATTAATAATTCTTATATTTTATTGGTCCAGTTGTATACCCTCTCGTTTTTTACATATTATTCTCTTCCCATTGCCCCCTAGAGTATAACTATGAGTACAAAAAATATATGAAAATATAAATATATTACATGTTAAGGACGTAAGTCCCAGTCAAACACAATTTTTATATAATATATTATATAATCTTTCATCTCTTGGTATCCAGCTAAGACAAGACTTTCAAAAAACTAACTAACCATTAAGTTTACTGTTTTTTAAACAGAAAAAGAGAATAACACATAGTCTCTCACTCTCAACTATTTAACAGCGATTAATATTTAATGTTATAAAATATATTAATTTTTATTTATTATCTCCGTGGCCCTCCATTACCATCTCGTGGTTGAAGTAAAAATTGAATGCTCCACTAAAAAAAAAATTACATTCACACGAATTTTTATGGAAAAATTAATAATATCCCTATGTAATCAACTAGATTACACCGATCTGATTGGAATTAAAATGGAACCCAAGTACCACACGAGTAATACAAATCCCAGGTAGACGATTTCATCGGTTGACACGCGATATCCATTGGTTATTATTATTTATCGTAGCACAGTGAAGTTGGAGAAAGAAAAAAATCCACGGCTAGTCGTTGGGTTACTGCACCGTGAGCCGTATAGGCTTCCTAATGTGGTGTAATACTAAGAGTCAAAGAACGGACCCCTTCTTTAAGGATTACGCAAGGGGCGTGTAGGCATAATGCGAGCTGATATTCAGTGTGATAAACAAGTTATTAAATCGTGATTTTAAAATACACGAGTAATTTGCTGTACGTTATCGGTTTTTGGGAAATGGAGAAATCTTTGGTAGAGAAATTCAATGGAAGATGATTTTCAATTGCGAATGCAGAGGATATTTTGCAGGACGGTTAATGGGAAAACAATATCTTGACATTTTTATTATTTTGTCAAGGATCTCCGTGAAAAAAAGATTTAGGCCCGCTTGCCCTGTTAAGGATATCCGAGGAGTTCGGACAATTTTTTCTAGGGGAAATTCTCTTCAGAGTTTGTGGAATAGACCAAGAGTATTTTTTCCACAGAATTTAAACTTTAGTTTCCGAACGTTTTTTCGAGAAAAACTTTTTTCAACAAATGAAATTTAACACATTGCGCCCATAAGAACTGTATAATCCCACCTTCAATCCAATAGAGCAGTCTTCAGTCTTAAAGCGTTTGCTGTACACATAACCGTATATAACTTTGTAAGTTATACTCTGTAGATTTTTTTGCGACATTAAAAAACGTAAGTTTCCGGACAAATAATTGCACACAATCAAATTAAAAGCTTCTTGATTGGTACGACGGTGATATTGGGTGGTTGGAATCCGCGCGTTCCGGATGTCGGCCAATGGTCCGCTCAAGTAACTAGGGTGAACAGGCCAATAGACCTCTTCATCCTGAGAGTCACTAGATTTGCAGACACTTTTTTCTCGTGTTAATTTTCCTAGGAATTTCGAACACTTCTACCGAATTTACACATCAATCATCATTTTTGAGTGCTCAAATCTATATCATCTTAAATGTTAATGTCTATCAGAATTTTTCATTATTTTTCCGAAGATTTGCCAGTTCGATAAACGGAATAAACATTTCCCCTAGATTTCCAGAATGAAAAGGTCTATTGATGGATGGTTAACCCTTCAGAACTCGCGCTATAAGCGCCGCGCCGCCTTTTTCAAATTTTCGCTTGCCTCTTGCAAAATTGAGCTTTCAAAAAATTGAAAAAATTAGAATGCCTAGCTTGAATCATTTAGAATGGATTAGCAAGGTTCTTATCCGCTGAAAATCCATCAAGGCTACGAAAAATAATAAATTGTTGAGGCTCATACGCAAAAGCGGCGCCGTGCCGCCCAGTGCGAGCAACGAAGGATGTAAAATTTTCAATTCCGCTGTTGCTGTTTCCCGCTCGCCGCACGCTCGGCGCGTACCTATGAACGTGACAACGCTGCGTTACTGAAAGCACGGGCGGCGCAGCGCTCACCACGCGAGTAACGAAGGTCGGTGGCTGAGCGCGAGTTCTGAAGGGTTAAGGGAAATTTGAGTTTCGTGGTAGGATCTAAAATAACAGAATCACCCAAATGGGAATATGATGGCTTCCATACCTTCAAGAACGTTTTAATTAGCATAAAAAAATTATTTGAAGGCAAAGTAACAAAACAAAGAATAATTAAATTAAACGATAGTTGAATGCAGCCGAAAACCCTAATTTCGGGACGACTTGGCCATATTTGTGTTATTTAGTACATGTCGTTCAACCCAAAAAATAATTCATCACAAGATTATACACGAATAGTATTACTTAAAAATGATGTAATCAGTAGTAATACCACGAGACAGGGAACAGGAGGCAGGAAAACATGAGGGAAATGTCCGATTAATTTTGAAGTTCGAGTGCTATTCGCCGGATTATTTTTTGTAATCAGATCCTTCCCAAATCGACTCATTTTGACTTTCTTCATGACTTTCTTTCACTCCACAGGATAATATTTGACAGTTATTTGGTTAGAGAAACAATTGCAGAGCTAGAGGGAAATTATCAAAAGCTAGGGGGAAATAACCACAAGTAATACCACGAGAGCTTCAAAATTATCGAGCAATTCCCGATAGATTCGTTGCAAACCAACGAAGGAGTCAAGATGTTCAGGTTAAAAAATTGAAAAATGATTTTTCCTGAAAAACTTGACGACTTCGTTTGTGTGCAGGGAACCTTGAAGGAATTACTCGATTAATTTTGAAGCTCGAGTAGTATTCGGGAGGGAATTTTCCCATCCAAATGTCGGCCAAAAGAATTGCACTATGAGACAAAATCCATCTGACAGTTCAAACCAGGGGTTCACTCGACCACGAAATCTTTTGTTTTCCACAAATATAGTTAACATGAAAAATTACCAGTTGAATTATCAAAAATTCTCACTTGTAATACCACAAGAGCTTCAAAATTATCGGGTATTCTCCGATAGGTTCGTTGCAAACAAACGAAGGAGTCAAGTGCTAAGCACGAGTGATTTTTCCTGAAAAACTTGACGACTTCGTTTGTATGCAGGGAACCTCGAGTAAAATGCCCGATTAATTTTGAAGCCCGTGTGGTATTCGGGGGATTATTTTTCCAATCCAAATGTCGGGCAATATAATTGGACCATGAGACGAAACTCACAATTGAGAAACGAAAATTGTATAATTAACACAACAACACAATTAAATTCAATCTGTCAGTTTGACGAGGGGTTAATTTGACTACATGATGTTTTGTTTTTTATATAGCAACTACCAGAGAAAATTATCAAAAAATTATCAGTTGAAAACCCTGTAGCTTGTACCACGTGATGTCGAATGGGCCAATTATATTGCCCGATATTTGGATTGGAAAAATAATCAGCTGAATACCGTGTTGACTATATGAAATAACAGTCGAATAGCGCAATTCTATTGGCTGAAATTTGGATGGAAAAAATTCCCGCTGTAATTTTAATTGGGAAGTACTTCATGTTATTGAATACTGAACTCTGAGTGGCCCAGGGAAGGCCAGATCCGATTACCAAGAATAATCAGTACAATTTTTATATTATTATTTATGGAATATTTAATGGAAGTAGAAATCGTCCAGAACTTGACCTGTTTACCCTACTCGGACCGAATTTACGAGGTTATATTTCACCCATGTGCAGTGTTGCTGTATGATCATTAAAGGTTAGACTAACGAGAGTCAAGTGTGAAATTAAATATAATATTGGTCACAATATTCATTGAAGAAATTCCCGAAAAAATGTATTCAACAATGGAAAACCCAAAAAAGTATGGGGATGGTAAGATTTTCGGCAAAACTGAAATTTTGCGTAAAGAAAAATTGTCAACTTGAACAAAGTGCTTGGACATCCTTAAGCAAATAAACCCTTGGGTAAAATTTATCCTCGAGGTCAATTATGTCCTAGGAGCTTTAAGTTTTCAATATTTAACCCAAACAATAATTTCTTATTTATCCTGTAGCCTCATTTGAGTCAACACTACTTTGACCCTAGGATTTATTTATATTTTTTGTTCCTGGGATAATTTTAAAAATGAAAAAAAAAAATTTTAATGAGTGGAATGGATTAAATGAATTTTTCAAAAGATGTCACATCAGCAATTAAAACTTGAAAAAAAGCGCAACATTTTTTTATTATTAAAATCATTTTGTTAACAAGTGAGTGGAAAAAATCGTTAAAAGTGTCTTAAAGCCACCGAATTTCCCCGTTAAATCTCAGAAATAATGAGAAGTAAATAAAAACCTGATAACGACTGAAGAAGCTAGCCCCTTCCGGCGCTCATCACCCCGAATGACTCACAAAAAAAAAACACTGAAAACCTGTGGGAATCAGAATAAGTAGCATTGGGGGTTGAAAGTCGTTGCAGACTCCAGCCCGAGGTGGAACGCCGCTGTGATTGGTCCTCCCCTCCAGTTCTCCAATAGATTGGCTGACTCAATCCAACCAGAATAAAACGTCATTCTCTTTTCCATTGATGTGTCCATGTGATAGTGTGAAAAAATTTAACTATACACCATTATAAAACCGAATAAATGGCATTTTTTTCACCATGTCAACGTGAACTTTAAGTATAAAAGGATCGGACTGAAGACTGTATCCACATAACATTACTGATTTTCAACCAGTAAACATCAAAAAACCAACATAATCAACATGTTCAAGCTGGTAAGAGTTGAACAATTACTTTGAATTTATTAATAATCTCCTGTGAATATTCACCTCAATTCCGTTTTTGTCTGAAGTGAAAAATTCTGGAAAATAGATATTTTATATCGTGAAAAGTGGAAAAATGTAGAATTTTCTATGTAAAAAAAATATTTTATCCAGTGGGGCTCAAGTTCAATTGAACTGCACTTAAATTGTATTTTTTTTCTCTTTCCAAAATTAATTTTCATTTATTTTCTCTTCTTTATGGAGTCTTCTCAGAATAAATATTCTTTATTACGTATCCTTAATTCTTTTGATTGTTTTTATTGTTGGAGAATCTAAAAAAAATTTTTTTTCCTATGATTTGGCAATTGTTCAATTCAATTAAGAAAGAGAGCCCTAGCACCGATCTTTCTGAAAACTTAACCATTGGATCGGTGATGGGGCTCTCTTTCTTAACATTTACCTTAATTAAACTCCAGTTGAATTCTAATTTTTTGTCTTTTCCAAATTTAATTTCCATTTTTTTACAAATTTATGATGTTTTAACGTATTAAATATTCTTCATTCCATATTTTTAATTCTTTTAAACAATTATATTGTTAAAAAGGCTAAAAAAATTGTATTTTTTTAAAGATTCGGCAATTAATAAACTAAATTATTATTAAAAAATGAAAAACAATAAGGAAACCAGCTAGAATTAATCTGAGAGGTCTAATATCGTTTTTTCAATAATTAATTTCATTTAGTTAAAGCCAAGACTTAATTTAGTTCGAGTTAAATTGCGCTAATTTATCGGAGAATATTTCAATTTTTACAGTAGAATTTAAAATTAATTCAAGTGCAGTTAAATTCCAATTTTTCCTCTCTTCAAAATTTAATTTTCTTTTTTTACGCCTTTACGATGTTTTCAGAGAATAAATATTCTTCATTCTAAATTTTTAATTCTCATAATCAATTGTATTACTAAAGAAGCTAAAAAAATTATATTGTTCTCAATGATTTGGCAATTATCAAATTAAATTGTTATACAAAAATGAAAAAACAATAAGGGGAACAACTAGGAATAATTTCGGAGGCCTAATATACTGTTTTTAAATAATTAATTTCGTTAAATAATGCCAAGGTTTAATTAATTTCGAAATGAATTTCTAAAAAATTTCTGGAAATAGTTTCACTTCCGAAAAAAAATGATATTCTTCATTCCATCATTCTAATTTCCCCGAGAAAAATAAAATAGCGCAAATTTGTCGGAGAATATCTCAATTTTCGCGAAGCTTGTTCAAGAACCATAAACGTTCGAGAATCATTAAAAAAAGTGCTAGCATTGTTAATGTTCGGGTGTTTCACTGGTATCGGGCATGCGATACCTCCCATTTTCCCAGTTATTTTCTTCTACACTAGTCCCTCGAAAAATACAATTCTCTCGTGTTTTTAATTTTTCTCACTTTATAAAGTACATTTGACTGCAATTCCTAACCTTTCAAGAGTTCTATCGACGCTTGATCTTTCTCTTTCACTCGCGCGGGTCACAAAAATACGTGTGAAACTAGCGGAGCATACAATTGCATTAGCTAATACTCCCCAGCCGGCAAGAATTTTTTTTTTCGATAGTGCATGCACCCATAGATCTGTGTCAGGACTTAATGTCCTTTTATCGGTCATTCGATCGTTCCTAAATGCAACCGATTGCCATGATTAATTGCAAACTATCCGGTTTTTCTCGCGGGCTTTCGTTAAGTGCTGGCTCGATGTCATCCGAGAGCTTGCGAAATTTCCGGTTGTGAATCGAGAAAGAAGGTACTCTTTGATCCATTAGTTCAAAGAAATCAGTTTTTATCGAATAAAAATCAGACCTGCCCATTCAAGGAAGTAATGAATCAAGGGCATTCGATAGCTAGATAAATTTTATGCTGAATGTCAAAAGAGACGATACTTTATGCCCTGGTAGTTTCTTAAAAATTTCAGGAAGAAATTTGGTGAGAGAGAATTTTTCGGCGAGGTCTCAGGTAATTAATGGGGAAGAGTGGGTTGTTGGTTTTTTTTATTTCGGTTTCAATTTACTCGAAATACTGCTCCCTGGATGTAATAAATTGTAGAAGAGAGTAGGAAATTCGAGAAAATCTTTGAAAATCCTAGAAAATCCTGGAACTTTTCAGAAAATCCTCCAAATCTTAAATAATCCTGGAACGTCATATAAAATCCTAGGAAATCCTAGAACATCATAGAAAATTTTAGCCATCCTGAAAATCCTAAAAATCCTTAAAAATCCTAGAAAATTCCAGACATTCTGACAATCCTGAAAATCCTTAAAAATCGTAGAACATCCTTTATGAAATCTTGAAAAATCCTCCACAATCCTAAAAATCCTAGAGATCTCAGACATTGTAAAAATCCTGAAAATTCTAAAAATGCTGAAAATGATTGCAAACCAATTATAAATTTATGAAAAAAATAGGCTGTTTTCGCCGCCGTTTTGGCTATCGCTGTTGCTGCCCCAGGAGGTCTCACCGGTCTGGTGCTCGACCACGGACTTGGACACATCCACGCACCCCAGGTGATTGCTCATGCACCAGTTCAACATGTTGCCCACGTCGTCCACCAGCCCGTTGCTCCAATCGTCCACACCGCTCCCATTGTCACCAAGACTGTTCTCTCTGCCCACGCCCCAGCCGTCGTCAGCTACGCCGGCCACGGACTTGGACTTGGACTTCACTGAGCAACAATCATCCCACCAATCAGTCATCTAATCCCCCTTAATCACCCGGTCAAATGCTTCTCTAACTGAGGACAACGGCAGAGAGATAACGCTATCATTGGATCAACCCCCACCTTCTCCCACGAAAAAAAAATATGGGAAGAAATTGTTAATATTCATTCGGATAATGTGAGAAAATTGTACGGCCTTGAGATCATCATTTATTCTACTGAATTCTATGACTTTTCTGGATACATCTGAGTCGTGTGTTTTTTCTTTATTAAATTTTAATCCATTTCCCCTAATTAGTTTTCTTCATTTCTTAATGCATTTTTTTGCACCTTGACTGCAAAATGTCATCGATTGCGGCTGTTAAAAATATCTGGCTGACATTTTCGGCTGACTTCTTAGAAATTTTTCATCGCATTATAGTTTTAATGGATTTTCAACTAATTTCGGCATTGGAAATTCCAAATTTCGTGGAAAAATCTGTGGAAACTGTAGATTTTATTTCAATTATTCGATGAGAATTGGTGGAAATCAGGACAATTCGTGTAAGTTGGGAAATTTCATTGAATTTTCAGTTAAATTGGAGATTCAATGATTTTTTCCCATTAGTTCAAATTGAATATGTCACTTTCCTGAAAATTACTCGTCAACTGTTGGTGGAATTGCGATTTTTTTTCCAACACTGCACTTTCTTGAAGGATAATCGCGCAGTAACAACAACCATACTTATTCACAATGTTTAAAATTGCTATTACCTTACAGTTGTACTGAAATTTCGAGGATTTTCGTTATTGAAAGTTTAAAACCTCGAGATAAATATATTCATGAACATTACGAAGTGTTCCAAGAATGGTAAATACAAAAGATTGGGATGAATTCTGATGAAATGGGACAGCTCTTGTCCTATTTCCTCAGCTGTTAAAATTATTTTCCCTACAAAATTGCGGGACTCGCCGTGTAGTTGCTGCAGAAAATAATGCTCTCGAGCGAATAAAAAAACTCAAATTAAAATCCTTAATGTCAACTACCCCCGGGAATTTCGTATTTTCCGATAAACGCGTCGCGCATATTGAATTACGTGTGTCGTATACCGGTGTCCCGAGAGGGGGCAGCCCCCTAGCGCCCCTCACCGCCCTCCGCAGCGGCGTTAGCATCCACGATTTATTGGAAATGTGCAGCGCGTAACCGCCGGAGACAAACTGGAATTAAAAGAAAAGGGAACGACGCTCTTTACGTGATTAAAATGCACGTCTATACCAATTCCAGGGTTTTTCCAGCTCCATCTTTTATATTTACCGATTCATTTTTTTTACACTGAGCCATGGAAATTCACTCGCTCTCAAAGGCTGTTCGATCGATTTGTCGTCTGAGTCGATGTCGTCTCTATCTCGTTGTCCTAGTACTGGTGAAACTGGGACAGGTACGGAACTAACGGCAGCAAGAAACACGATTTCTCAGGCCGATGGCCCGACTCCAAACAATTGTCTCCATTTTATCGCGGGGAAATAAAACAATTCCGAAAGAATTGACCTTATTTTTTTTATTCTGATTTTGAGGAATGCATTTTGCATTCCTGGGGAATGGGGTTTTAGGGGCATTTAACCTTTGACATTATTTTACGGATGGAATGACGCTTTTATTGTTGGGCAATATGTCGAATCGATAATGAAAACTCGTACGTATAGTGGATATCTCGAACGAACGGACATAATAAGGCGGTTTTCATGAGTACAATCGTCAAGCGTCGAATTTTCATGAAGCCCGCCGAACAAACAAAAGAGAATTGAATACCATTCTATGAAACATGAATAAACAAATCATAATTGTCCAAATCATTTAGGTCAGAGAAAAATAGAATAATTCTACTTTCTTAATATTGCGTTTACTAAGGTTAATATCCAAATACAAAATTCCTGATATGAATAAAAAGAAGTTGTCACTCAATATTCCATAGGAAGTTTTAATTTTTAATTTGGTGCTGAAAACCCGAGATGACAATATTCTAAGCACGGAATTATATGGATGAGATGAACAACAGATTAATTGAATTACCGTATGAACTAACTAAAAATTGATAACAGTATGGGCACACACTTTTACCGGAGTATCAACAAACATTACATTCCAGAAATTCACACTCTAAAGTGTGTTCTAGAAGGAATTGAATTGTAATTATGATTAAAATCTTATTCAGTGAGCAAATCATTCATTGTAATATGAAAATTTAACAACTGATAAGTTGGGACATTTGATTTTCATCGGTCGTATTGCGTTTTACAATGAGAGCGATTGTCACAGTTAATCGAATGAGGGAACTGACACATTATTCTTTGCATGGCGCATGAAAATTGTCAATTTTCTCATGTTTATCATCATGCGCCACGGGCATTCATGAATTTCATCAATTTCGTTCTACTCAATTTATTTCACATCTTCAATTCACACTACTACATATCATAATTACAAAAGCTTTCAGAGCAATTCAATAAATCCATTTCGCCTCGCAACTTCTCCAATCCCCGATCATCAAACAAGGCTAAAGCAACCGATTAACAGAAACTCCTTCCCCCGCACTGGGATTGAATCGCTCGAGCCATCACTCTTCCCCGAGCCACTCGAAAATACCCCTTAAAGGTGTTTGATGTTGCTCTAAAACGGGGCACGCAATTTGGCGATCGTAGGAGTAACGGAAATTGAGTTGTTCGATCAGTCGTTGAGAGAGGAGAATGAAGCGAAAACAAAAAAATGTGATTGAAGAAAAAAACACAGAACGTAACACGAATATCGTAAAAGAGTAATTTATCTTTGAAGTGTATGAAGCAGATCGTTGATTCCGGTGGTGTTCACCCGCTTTGTAATCTTATTCCATCAGTAGTGGGGGAGGAAAGCCGGATGCGCCCATGGGATGCTGGAGTGGTACGACAGTGGTGATACGTACGGATGTAGTGGCACGACTTTTACGTAGTTATGCGGGTAGATTACTGTGTGGGCTGGCAGTAAAGGTGGATATGGAGCACATGAGCATAATCCCAGCGCCACAAGGAGTAAAATCTGAAATTTTAAGTATTAGTTTCAATTAATTTTTAATATTTCGATGGAAATGGAGATACCTGAGATGAAATTCAGTAGCAAAGTGGTAAAAGGCGATAAGTCAATTTTGACTATTGACCAGTTTTCAATCAATATCTCGGAATGTAAGGGAGATAACAAAATTTCTGTTATAACCTTTTTTGTGGAGCCGATTGAATGCTACAACAAATATAATTACGAAAATTTCGCTACCTCCCTTAGATTCGAAAATATTTCTCAAAAACTCAACTAGGAGATGAGTCGACTTATCTCCGTTTACCACTTCACTACTGAATTGTTTTCGTATTTGGGAAAGGTGAACGTTTTGTGAAGTTGGTTTGACGGGAATATTATAAACAATTGATTGTTTATAATCGTTCTCATTGCAAAAAGCAACATCGATGAGAATCGTACGTTCCAATTCATCAGCTGTTAAATTTTCGTATTACAATAAATGATTTGCTCATGTTCTAATTCCTATTCTCACTGAATAAGATTTTAATGATAATTACAATTCAATTCCTTCTAGAACACACTTGAGAGTGTCTCATCATTTTTGGAATTCAATGTTTGTCGATACTCTGGTAAAAGTCCGTGCCCGCACTGTTATTAATTTTTAGTTAGTTCACACGGTAATTCAATCAATCTGTTGTTCATCTCATGAATATAATTTCGCGCTTAGAATATTGTCATCTCGTGTTTTCAGCACCAAATTAAAAATTAAAACTTCACTTGGAATATTGAGTCACAGCTTTTTTTTATTCATATCAGCAATTTCGTATTTGAATATTAATATTATATGTTCAACGTGAAAAAATCGATCATTTTCACTATATTGCATTCGGATTCTCCTATCCTTGACGTAAAAAATGTGAGATAATCTCATAATTCTAGCTATTAATTCTAATCAACTTTTTTGGATGAAAACCTTAGTAAACGCAATATTAAGAAAATAAAATTATTCTGCTTTCCTCTGACCTAAATAATTTGGTTAATTATGATTCGTTTATTCATGTTTCGTAGAATGGTATTCAATTCTCATTTGTTTGTTATGCAGGCTTCATGAAAATTCGACGCAAGGCAATTTTACTCCTTCATTTCTCTATTCATCCGAGATATTGCCGAGTTCATTCCCTCACAAGACTACATTATTTTTGCAAATCTAGATGAATTATTATCAATAATACATATTAACTTTTGTTTAGAATTTATTTCGCATTTTAGTCTTCAAAATTCAAGTCATGTTTGTACTACTAAAAAAATGTACATGAGAAACTCACGACAATAGCTGCTTTCATGTTGAAAAAACCGCGTCTGAATGCCTGCAACCACCGACTGAACATCAACAAAGGTGCAGAATCTTCCTATTTATAGTATCTAAATCCCCCTGTCTTCGCAATCGATCTGAATCTCGGATTTATTCCCATGGAGCACCAAGGCTGCTCGTCCATCAAACAGATCCACATTACTTTATAACTTTTTTCCCCTCTCTATCTCCAGGATCTAGGTAACTTCCGTCGCTAACGACTCCCTTGTATGCATCTCAGTAATAATTCTGTTTGAAATCACATCCGATCGAAGGCCAGTGTTGGAGATCTTAGCTCATGATTTCCACAAATGAAGGAAAAATACAGTCTGTGAACTTGAGGGAATTAATGCATCCCTCATCTCAACTATTCAATAGAAAATATTCTCTGTTGAAGTGATTTTTTTAAATTTTATTGAAGCATTTTATTCGAGGTCAAATTTGGCCGAAGTTTCGGTGTGAGGTATTTTAATATACTGTCACTTAAAAATTATGCGCTGCAATTTCCGGTAAGAGTCGTCGAAATTTCTACCGAGTGACTTTTAAACTGAAATTTTTAGAAATTTAATCATTGAAAATTCATAATTTTGTGGAAACATCTGTGAAAAATATAAATTTCGGTTTAATTATTTCACGAATATTTATGAAAAATTAGGAAAATTCAGGGAATTTTCTCCTTGAATTCCAGATTTCTCTAAATTTTCAAGGAATTCTTTAAAAATTTCTGGAATTTTGAGAATTTTAAAGGAATTTCCCGAAAATTCATGGGAATTTGGCAGTGAATATTAATTTTACTTGAATTTTCAGAGAAATTCCGATGAGTTTTTCCCCTTAAATCGAATTCAAGGTCTTTCTCCAGAAAATTTAGCGAAATTTTTTCAACAATGTATATATTTTCGACTAAAATTTCCGGTAAACTTCTTGAGAATTTACATGGTATCATGGTTTCACTGAAATTTATAAGGGATTTTGCTATCCGAAATTTTAAAAATTATGGAAAAATCAATCGAAACTGTAAATTTTAGTTCAATTATTCCGAGAAAATGAATAGAAATCAGAAAAATGCCGGTGAATATATTCCTGAAGTCTCAGTTAATTGTGAGTTAAGGGTTATTTCGTACAGAATATTCATGTGTTGATGGGAAATTCAAGTAAAATGAGAAGTTATCGTCTTTCTGCTGCTATTTTAGACTGAAATTTGAGGTACATTTCTTGGAAATTCTCATCATATTCTAATACCGCTGAAATTTCAAAGAATTTCGTAATTGAAAATTCAATATTTTATGAAAAAATCAATGGAAATTGTAAATTTTAGTCCAATTATTTCATTTATTTCAATCAATTGTTTAATTAATCTTCTCCCTGCAAAACCTTTGTAATTTCATTGAAAATTAATTCTAAATTAATCTGGGATACCAAAAATCATGCAATAATGCATTCTAATTCGCGCGTTCGATTCGCGATCGGTCGAGATTCTGACAGCAATGATAATTAAAAGATAACTGATGTGAAAGATTAAAAATTTTGAAGTGACGACAATTTCTTTTAAAATATTTCAACAAATCAAAATGAATAGTAACTAATAAACTGACCAATAAGCTACAGTAATTACCTTTCATAACATACACTAGTCAACTGTTCCTGAAATGTCAATTATTATCCAACAGTGTAAGCCCATTCATCTAGCGCTAATGAATTTTGTTCAATTCAAAGTCATTTCTCTGGTATAGCCCGACTAAAATCTCATTTATCCCGAGTGGATAATCAATTTCTTTATGTTTTCGTGCGCAAAATAAATAAATTCTTACGTTTCGGATTTTCTTTATTGATTTTTATTCATCATTTATTCTCATGAATTTCATAAATTTTATTCAATTCAAATAGATCATTTCTCTGCGTTAACCCCGACGATAATTTCCCCTCCAGCCCCACTAAAATCCAATTTATTCCCAGTAGATAATCAATTTCCTTATGTTTTCGTGCGCACAATAAATAAATTCTTTCTTTTCGGATTTTTTAATCGACTTTTATTCATCATTTATTCTAATGAATCTCATAAATTCAATTTCTGTCATTTTCCTCTTTTAATTCAAATAAATTTTGTTCAATTTAAATAAGCCATTTTCCTGCTTTAACCCCGAAGATAATTTTCACTCTAGCCCGACCAAAATCCCATTTATCCCAAGTGGATAATTTTATAGAGCGTGAAACAGAAACCGCCAATCATTAGCATTACGCAGTAAACCACCTCTTGTAAACCCCCGCGATAAAACTCCACACGAATAGAAAAAAATATATTCAATCGTCTATTATTATAACTCGAGTGTGTGTGCTGAAGCGTAACGTGTGCGCGGCACATTGCGAAAGTGTTTGGCGTTTGTTGAATACAGCGGATTGAGTCGATTCCTCAAGACAAAACCGGTCTCGTGGCCCTTGAATTCCAACTGTTACATTCGTATATTTTCGAGTCGAGTGTAACTGGATTTTTGATGCTGTTTTAATGGCGAGAGCATCGAATTACCGGTGGTATTTCCCGAGAGAGCTCGAGATACTGACTAAACCCTTAATATGATAATTCTCCCCTTTGAGATGGTACGTACTGTGTGACGGAGTTAATGGTTATGAGGCAATTCGGTTGGAATGACGAGGATTCTCGTTGAATGTTGAACTAACAAGATTCTTTGCTGGGTAAAGGTTTGGGAAGGGTTTGAGTAAATTAGAGGAAGACCCTTTAGTAACAATCAATTGAAGTCCTCGGGTATGAAAAAATTTCATTGAAATGGCTGGCTAATTCGATAGAAATTTCTATCGGATTTTTATTGAACGTTTTATGAGTTTTAGGGCAATTTTATTGAGTTTTTCCAGTAGAAAAATTGAATGGAAAATATTCTATAGAAAACATGAATAAACTCGACTTTTTTTACACAACTTATTCCGTTGTGATATATCTTATGGAAATTCCTCAGCTCAAATTTTATAATTTTTCGCTTTCACAAAGAGAGAACAACAGCGGAAAAAATGTACAAAATTCATGTCGAGGAATTTCTATAGAAAACTTCTCAATAGAAAAAATTCTATAGAAAGATGAAATTCTACTACATTTTTCCTATAAAATGGTGTTTACTTGAAATTTTCCATATAAAAGGCTCTAAATTTGCGAAATTTTCCATTGAAATCAGCCAAAAACTCATCTGCGCATTTTTTTCCGACGGAAAAATTCAATAGAAAATATTCTATAGAATTCTATAGAACAAAAAATTATCTAACCAGTCAATTCCATTTTTAGTTAATATATATTTAATATTTAATTAAATTTAATATTTAATTGCTGGTTACATATACGTTATGGAACCAATAAAAATAAAATGAAAACAGAAAACAATTCGTCAAGTTTTCGAATAATAATGTTCCCAATATTAATGTCACTAACCCCAGGTCTCCTAATTTTCAGATTTCTCGCAATATGGTGGCCCCTGAAATGCCAGATAACAAAGCGTCGTGCCCGCCTCCTCATCGTGATAATCTGGTTCATCGCCCTGGCAATAACCCTCCCCTGGCTGTTATTCTTCGACATAATAATTCTCCCAAACAACATGGAGCAGTCATTCTGCGTGGAGGAATGGCCGCGAAAGCAGGACGAGAGGCTGTTCTTCCTCCTCGGCAACCTGATGTTCTGCTATGTCCTCCCCATGATCCTCATATCCCTCTGCTACATCGCCATATGGGTAAAAGTATCCCGTCGCAACATACCAACGGACACTAAAGACTCCCAGATGGAAAGAATACAGCAAAAATCAAAGGTCAAAGTTGTCAAAATGCTGGTAGTGGTTGTGATACTATTTGTACTCTCATGGTTGCCCCTCTACGTTATATTTGCGCGCATTAAACTGGGTGGTGCACCGACAATATGGGAGGAAGAGGTACTCAACATAGCAACACCAATAGCCCAGTGGCTTGGCTCAAGCAATTCATGCATCAATCCCATTCTCTACGCATTTTTCAATAAAAAATATCGTCGCGGTTTCATGGCCATTCTCAAGAGTGGACGTTGCTGCGGCAAACTACGCTACTACGAGACTGTCGCAATAATGTCGTCATCAACGAGCATGAGAAAATCATCCTACTACGTTAACAACAATAACTCATCGACAAGACGTACGTGTCATGGGCCACCGATACATCAGGATAGCAATGTATCCTACATATTCAATCACACTGGCGTTTAAAAATAATAGCAATCAGCATTGACGCGTCCAGTGAGTGGATCATTATGCTAATAATCGTGGGGTCATGACCCCATAATCATGAGAATGGTCATTTCTACGAACTGCCAGCTCGAGATTTCAGGGTCAATTTTTAATGAAATTGGAGACGATTGTCGCTCGAGTTGGACTCGGGTGGAGACTCTTTTCTGGCGAATAATCTTTCCCCAATTTTTGAGATATGGAGTTTTTGGAAAATTTTGAGGACATCTCGATGTAGTCCTCAATCTAATATTTAATATCCCGTCATATCTGGTGTAGTTTGTATACGCTGATAATTGAATAAGAAAACCGACACATTGTCGTAATTTTTCGTGACACATCACGAGATCATATATTTTCTTACGGTAAATCATAATCATAAGAATAAGAATAATAAAATCATAAGATTTGGTGAACGAGATTGATATCGTACACAAAAAATCGCTTGGAGCATAATATTTGGAGCTAGAGTTACCTATTTTCTTAATGCAAATTAACTAATCGATCACATAAGTATCACCTCAAATTGATAAAGTAAACGTTTGTACACTGACGTGCGGGAAGGAGCAGTGAGAATAGGAAACATTAAGTCGTGTCATCAATAACGTGGTGCGAGTACTATTTAATCGTAATCCACTGTGATAAAAAAATATAAATTTTCATTAACGGGTTTTGCGAGGGGGTTCATTAAAGGGAAAATAATGCCATGATAATAAATGAATAATTCAATGTAAAACGACGCGAGTTAGATCCCGCAATCCTCAACACAGCACAAACACCCAAACGCTTGATTATCGGTGAGAAAATAATTCATGGTAATTACCACATGCCGAACGCTTGATTAATCACAAAATGTACTTAATGAATCCACAGTGAACGTGACCGTTAATTTTTTTACTTATCGTGTACACGTATATCAGCCCTGACATAACGTTTTTCGTTAGTTAATGTGTAAATAGTACTGTAAGATTATTGTAATATTTGACAGATGAATTTTTAATTGCATGCGCATGTAATAGATTGATATATCTTTGTACGTATTAAGGGAGAGATGATTGAGTGAAGACAGGTATGGGTGGGAATTTTCAATGCGCATGATCCCGCACGTAATTATTAACATTGGAATAGCGACGGCGAAATGACGATTGGGATCAGAGAGTTCATCACGACGTTTGACACTGATTGAAATGAGAATAAGCTTTTACAGATTGTCAAGTTGATACTAAAAAAATTGTAAATTTTGGATTTGTGAATTTGATCAATCGACAGATTAATTATCAATGAAGTTTGTTGGGGGAGAGTTTGTAACAATTTGTACCGTGTTATGACAGGGATGTTTAAATGATGAGCCACCGATGAAATTTGACAAATAATGTGGATTAATGGATAGTGAATGATAAATTGAACTGCCAAAGTACATTTGGAGGTGGTGATGTGGAGTTTTTGAGGGTTAAAAATTTTGTAATTGTTATACAAGTGGAAATTATACCAGATTGTGGATTTGTACTTGATTCCCAACGTGATGATCGTTATTCTATCATGATGATGTCTCGCTACTCTTTTAACTGAACTTTTAATCTAAATGGCGGGGGAGGGGGACTTCCGGGGTCCGCAGGGGCCTCCGAGGTCCTCCGGGGTCCGCTGGGTATGCCTTGGTAGTCGATACACTCTCTATATTTTTTAATAATTCTCGAAGGACGTTTGCGCATGATACAATAACGATTGAATCGTCGATCGAAGGTGTTTAATTGTGAAACAATATCGATATGCATTTAAATTTTGAATATCTACTGCATGTATGCATTCAGACCATTTATATTATATCATGGGAGGATTTTAACGGAGGATTGATTGATATTTTGGCAGTCGGTCGATTCGATTTGTCACTGTGTCGTTTGTGAGACAGTCCACGAACTGCTAATCAGCAACGAAAAAAAAATTTTTAATAAAACTTGTGGAGGAATTTTCCTCAGAAATAGTGCAATATCTTCGTCCACTCTCTTCGTCTTTTAATCTAGTTAAGGAAGATGTATCAATTCAACGAATCGACCAATGTCTGAACGTCTCGATGATGAATGAGTTTTGATGGTGGAAATCGTGGAGCACTGGGCCATTCGCTGGCCGTTTTAGATGAGAATTTACACGAAATTTTGGTCCAATGGGGTGGAAGGATTGAGAGTTCTAAACTATTTTTAAAGTAATTATTCTCCTGATGTAATGGAGTGATGGTTAACGTGTTTTTCCCCTCATGTTTAGCCTACTTTCTGAGTCACTGTAATTACGATTGAGTTGTAGAAATGCATTGTTAATTGATTTGTCTACTTTTGTACTTTTATACGACTACTTTGTGATCACTGCGCGGAGGGGTCTTGGTTTGTCGGGTGGAGAATATTTTTCAGTGTTTGAGAGATATTTGAAGGTGGATTGGGATGCGTGTGACCAAATTCAATAGAAAACCTAGCGAATTCACTACAAAATTCTATTGAAATTCTGTCGGAATTCTGTGGGGTTTCTATAGGATTTCTATTGAAAAATTAAAAAATATATTTTCAATTTAAAAAAATTGAAAAATATTTGTTTTTTGCGCTGATTCTATTGCATATTCGATAAGAAACAGTCAATAGATTCCGAATTCCTGTTCGAATTTGTCTTTTGAGATTTTTTCTGTTAGAAGTATTGGGCATAGATTTTTAAGTTCATTCCGCTGGATTTTTGAAATTGATGTCCAAGCAGTCTTACAGAAAAAATCTGAAGAGAGAAACTCAAACAGAAAGCCGAAATCTATTGACTTTTTCTTGGCGAATAGCCAATAAAATCAGCGCAAAAAACAAATCAAATTTTTCAATAGAATTCGAATAGAAATCCTATAGAAACCCAAAGAATTCGCTAGCGTTTCTATTGAATTTTTTCATGCATGCGATTGCGGGTGCGAGAGATGATCGTAGGAGAACCTAACGAATTCGTGAGGAAATTGGGGAGATTTCTAGTGGAATTCCTATTCGTTTTTGGCCGATTCTATTGGAAAATTTCGAGGTTTGTCTGTGCGTTTTTTTTTATAAAAATGTTTAGGGGAAAATATTCTATAGAAAAAATCGATAGAATTTGATTTTTCTATACAACTTATTCTATTGAGATGTTTTCTATAGAAATTTCTTGGCTCAAATTTTCTAAGTTTTTTTGGTGGATTTTTATAATGAGAAGAGAAAAAAATGAAGTAGAAAAAACTTGGAAAATTTATGTCCAGGAATTTCTATAGAAAATGTTTCAACAGAAAAAGTTGTAGAGAAAGACGAAATTGTACAGATTTTTCCGATAGACTAGTTACTAAAGTTTCTTAGGATATTTTCGATTAAAAAAGGCGCAATAAAAGTGCGGAATCCTTCAATAGAATCGGCAAAAAAGTAATAGAAATCTCGAGAGAAATCCAAGAATTTCCTAATGAATTCAATAGCAAATTATATTGGATTTCTATTGCGCTTTCTATTAGTAGTCAGTCAATTCTGATGAGGAGTTCTGCAATTTATCTGTGAGTTTTTTTCAATAGAAAATATTCTATAAAAAAAAATCAATAGAATTGCATATTTCTATAGAAATCCCTCGACTCATATTTTCAAGGTTTTTTTGTTCAAGTTTTTAATGAGACGCAAAAATAGAGTGAAAAAACTTAGAAAAATGATGTTGAGGAATTCCTATAGAATAGTTTCTATAGGATATTTTTATTGGAAAAACGCGCAGTGAAAGTACCGAATTCTTCAATAGAATCGGTCAAAAACCAAAAGAATTTCCAATAGAAATTCCTATCGAATTCTTTAGATTTTTCTATAAGATATTTTCGTGTCTGTATTAATGATTAGGAAGTGTTTAAGGATTAGAAGGGCTAGTAGAACAGTCATATTAGAATCCAGAAAAGGTTTGGACATCACGGGAATAGCACATTCATCCCATGATGTTTCACCCGTCTGACCTTTCCATTCCTCAACTCCTCGTCAAATTCTCGAAGAAAAGTTTTAAATTTATATTCTCAATCCGACATGATGTTTCTTCTCAGCGTGGATTATGGATCCAGAGCTCACAAAGATAGTTATCTGCAAAAAGTATGAATAATGAACATTAGGATAATAACGAATAAACGAATTTAAAACGACTAACGAATTGCCTTGGCTGCTCGCACGAGTGATGAGATTCAATGTTACGCAGTAATCATAATTTATTTATAAGAGTTTTAAAGAGATCATAATTTAATAATTAATGAATTGAAGAGAATGAAAATATCCATTAGTTTAAATAAATCGTCTGACGGTAGATACTAGCAGAGACGATATTAAGAGAGAATTAAATACTCCGCCGTTGCTGTATTGATATAACCGCTGGTCGCTCTATATGTGTTTTCAAATGAAGGAGAAACAATATGTGTATAAAACAAATGTGTATATGAACATTCTATCTCAGAGATGTTATCAATCATTCATATTAACATAATTTATGTTTAGAAATTAATTGCGAGAGGTTATTCACTTCTGAAGTTATGACAAAGTCTAACGAACTAGTTGAGACAAAACATTTGGAGTATTTTCGTAAGGACTGAAATTGTCTCAAGGGCCAGAGGGAGAGCAGTTGGCCCTTGTAGACACTGCAATGGGCTCTCCCATTTGACCTTCAACGTTATTTGACCCTTTAGACCCTTTGATCATTATGATCTCTCTCCTGTACTTTCTGGTGGCCCTTATGACCGTTCGACACTTATACCCGTACAACGGTCAAACGGGAGAGACGAGGGGAGAGTTAAACGTTCTCCGAGGTCATACAGAGAGGACGAGGGGAGTGATCATAAGGGTAGACGGGAGGGTATTCGACCCTTACGAGCACTCCCCGCGACTCTCCCGTTTGACCCTTAAGATCCTTTGATCTTTATGATGACTCTGGTTGTCTCTTTTCGTTGATCCTTATGGCCGTTCGACCCTTATACCCTTACACCCTTGTAAGGGTATAAGGGTATAAGAGTCAACGAAAAGAGACAAGCCTTGTAAGAGTATAGGACGAGGGGAGAGTTAAACGTTTTCACCGGTCATACGGAGGGGATAAGCAGAGTGATCGTAGGGGTCAAACGGTCGAAAAGGGTAGGCGGGAGGGTATTCGGCCCTTCTTCCGTTTGACTCTCAACATTATTTGACCCTTGAGACTCTTCGATCGTGACGATCAGTATGCAAGTCTATTCCCCTTGACCCTCAAGGCCTTATACCCTTACAAGGGTCAAACGGGAGAGACGAGCGGAATGATCGTAAGGGTCATATGGGAGAGACCGGCATCTCCATTTGACCTTATTTCGCCATTTGATCCTTATGAACATTCCGCTCGACTCTCCCGTTTAGCCTTCAAGGTTGTTTGACCCTCGAAGCCTTTCGATCATCACGATAACTCGTCTCGTTGACCCTTAAGAATATTCCGTTCATCTCTTCCATGTGACCCTCAGAACCGTTTGACCTCCATAAACTTACGATTTAACCCACATCAATAGTAATTGAAATTGCCCTACAATCACCTGAAATCGAGTTTGTTCATGCATCCCTGAAGTGATTAACCCCTCGAAAAAAAATGTCACATCCCTCCTGATCCAATTAACATAACCTCTGGCACGTTCCGGGCGTTTGTGAGAACATCTAAAAATTGAATAGATCAGTGAGTGTACTGGGACCTGACAGACAATGGGTGAGGATTTATAAAAACGAAACTTTGATACGATGAATCTTGAACAGAAATAAGGGTAGATAGATAGCTAGGAAAAAAATAGATTGACTGATTGATTAAGATTATGAAAAAACAAAAGTGTGAATGATGACTGAATCTGTGTGAGGCCTAGGAAGTGAAACCGAAATAATAATTGCCTAAGTAGTGTTAAAATAATCATTGCGATACAAAATCATGAGAAAATACAAAAAATATATATATATATATAAAATTTGTTTTTACGTTCAATTCATTTGAAATGCGTTGAGATGTTATGATGGAGAAAAAATGAAATAATAGAAACATATTAGATAAGAGAATTCAATGAACCAATAAAACTGGTTGTCGCATTTGATGAACGTGTTTTATGTCGTTCCGATGAAAAACAATTATTTCAAATTTAATGGAAAAAATGTAATTACAGGCTCGCTTGAAGACTGTGAAAGGAAGAACACTCACTTTTGCAGCGTTTGAACGAGGAAATTCAAGTTTTTGATCAATCTAGAGATTAATTAGAGGGAATCAGTAACGGGGGAGAAAGGGACGACAGTAAATGTGGGTCAAGCGTGAGGGTCAACTTGATCTCGATTTGAAGTCATTCGAATTTACCGACATGATTTGACCTGTCAACTCAGACCTTCAATTTGACTCCTATATCGGCCCCTCGAATTCATCCGCAATCGTGCGGGTCAAATTGAGGGTCAAGATGACCTGGAATTTGCGGATTCTGTAGGTTTGGTCCCTCGTACTAAACGGAATGCGGGTCAAAATTAGGGTCAGTCATGAGCGTCCACTTGACCCTCACTTTGACTCACAACTCCACATGTGGTTTGTCCCATTCGTCTCTACCCATCAAACGATAACCGAATAATTATACCACAATTGGATATTGTGACTGTTTTCCCCCTTCGTCTTACAATTAACGACAAAAATCTTGATTAGAGATTGAAAGAAAAAATATTCTGCTCATATGTAACATAAAAAATGTGTACTATTAGAGGAAACTGCTGAGATTTCACAATTACACGTACTCCACCAACCCTTCCTCCACTGATATTTACTTTTCAGCTTTGGAATTTGGTACTGACGATGCAATTTAGTACCCACTGTAATGTTCAGATTGAATCACTCGTCAAATGCAAATACGATAATAAAGTATATGTATTTTCGCAGGAAAATAATAAATGATGAAATTTTATGAAAAAATGACTATTGAACTGAGAATTTACCTCCGATATTTATTATTTCCTCCTCAAAGTTACTATTGGAGGAGACAATTAGATTTCTCCTCACATTTAGTATAAAATCCTTATTTGACCCTCATTCACCCCCAATCGGAAGGTTCAAGAATGAGGAGGAAGTTGATCATTAGTTTGACCCATTCAATTCCATCTGTGAACCTTATTTTGATCTATACGTTTGGTCCCTGAGACCGGACGGAATGTGGCTCAAAACTAGGGTCAATCGTGAGGGTCAAGTTGACCCTCACTTTGACTGACAACTCCACAGGCGGTTCGTCCCACTCGTCTCTACCCTTCAAACGATAGGCGAAGCAACTTCTGGAGGATGTTTTCAGTGAAGTAGTGAATTAGTTTCTCTGGAAATTTCCTTGATAAAAAAAATCCAGAGAAAAGCTGGGAACTTTAACAGAATCGAGTTCGATAGACAGTTCTCTGAATTTTTTTTTCCAGCAATTCGACTCTGACACTTTGGCTTTGGGTGAAAAAAAAAAAGTTTTATTTCTGCATTTCTGGGGCATCTGAGGGATTCAGTGGCATTAGACGGGCCAAAAAATACAGAATTAACTTTCACTCGGCGGAAAAATTTGATTTTGCCGAAAGTCGACTTTGCCCCCGAAAAAAGCCTAAATATGACACTTTGGATCCGGGTGGAAAAAAAAATTTTATTTCTGTATTTCTGGGGCTTTCGAGGGTTTCATTAGCATCAGAAACGTTAATCAATATAAAAATTGAGGAATGTAATCGAAACTAACTTTCATTTTTGAGGCCTTGCAGAGGCTCGAGTAAGCCTTGACTAGGCCTGGACTAGGCCTGAATTGAAACTCGCCAATGGACCCTTGAATCACCCTCATTTCAGGCTGGAGTGAACGATGAAATCAAGCCTGTCCCAGCCCTGAGTCACTGAGCCTCGCCAAATTTAGGCTCGTACAAGCTTGTTTCCATCGTCAGCCTATATAATTCCTACCTGGGAACTTGAATGACGGCTGAAAATACTTGTTTTGATTATAAGAATTACGGAAAAAAATGAAATAAATAAAAAATGAGGTCATTTGCAAAATTCCACTTCTTCCCAGCCCAGGGGCAACAACACAGGCATGGAGCCGACATGGGGCATGGGCTGGGTTTCTTCTCTTGTTTTGTTTTGCATTGCAGAATCCGAGTGGAAAAAACTTAGAAAATTGATGCCCAAGCATTCTTATAGAAAAAATCTCAAGAGAAAAATTCAAACAGAAATTCGAAATCTATTGACTTTTTTTCATTGAGTATCCAATAGCATCAGCGCAAAAAACAAATAGAATTGTTCAATAGAATTCCAATAGAAATTCTATAGAAACCCCATAGTATTCCTATAGAATTCTAATAAAATTTTCTAGCGAATTCATAACTTTTCGATTGAATTTTGTCATACGTGAAAAAGCGTTGGAACATCACTCAGTGACATGTTCACCATCATATGCTCACTGACATATTATATGCTCGCTGCCTCCTGTTTGTTTTGATGATGTGAAAGTGTAACATTCATTTGGAACAAAAGAACGTAAGTGGGATTTAAGCTTGTTTAATCGAAAATGATTGGATATACGTTGCGCTGTTCCAAAAAAAATTGAAAATAATTATTTCGATGAGAATTTTAATACCGAGCACAAACAGCGCATTTTTAGGAGATACATCATTTATCTCTGGCAATGGCCGTTTTTGGTAGTTACGGGACTGTTATTAAGCTGTCGATATGTTAATTCATAATTAAATAATTTTGGAACGGTTTGTGGGAGATACGTTTATTTGTTACAGGTACAGGTCATAACAACGTATCTCACAAGTCCGTACATTTTCCATTTTTTTGATAATTTGAAAGTTTAACATCTATTTGGAATAAAAGAACGTGAGTGGGATTTACGGTTGTTTGAACGAAAATGCTTGAAGATACGTTGCTCTGATAAAAAAAATTGAAAATGATTATTTCGATGATTTTTCCAATACTGAGCATAAATAGCGCATTTTTTGGAAATACGTCAATTTACTTCTGGAACTGATGGTTTTTTGTAGTTACATGACTCTGTTACTAAGCTGTCGATATGGACAGAAAACAATAACTCTTTGATTTTCATCATGGACTCATAAAAACAAAATCAATGATTTAACGGAATTTCTTATTTATGTAGTCTTGATACGAAGAGAGCTCTTCAGGGCTTTGAGCTCGAATATTTTTGCCTTGTGCATAAAATGCACGATCCAGTCAATAGCGCCACGATTCACTTAACTTTAACCGAGGTCTAACCGTGGTTTCCTAATCCAAAAACTGGCCCTCAGCACTACAGAGCGAATTGTTCGTGAACGCGCGCAACCGCGCGCGTTGTAGATCTAGTTATACCTGAAAAAGAATAAATTTCTCCCTCACACTTCATGATTGACACGGGGTATAATTAGACTGCAGCTATATGCCACGGAAAATATGAATGTAAATCAATCAACTTCCGAGAAAAAAGTTTCAACTTGGACTCGTCTCTGCTACCTGTCACTCGAGACAACCGCACACGCAACTCCTGCAGGTGATACCTGAAAATAAGAGAGGGAATATCATTTTTCCGAGGTCCGAGGATGGCGATGCGCCCCACCAATCTGATAGTCATAAAATTCATTTCTTTTTACATGAAGTGTCCCGGGTTCTGGCCCCTAGAGTCAGTACGGGCGAAACGATTTATGAATTTTCTCGTGGCCTATGCTATTTTTATGACATTCTTCTCGTATATTCAGAGTGTTGTCATTGTCTATTATGCTTTCGATGATTTTCAGGTGAGTAATAATTTTTTTATTTTTTTTATCAGCTATCTAAATATTTATTCAACTATTCTTTTGTTTTCTTTCTGTGTTCTATAATCAAAACATTATATATCATATATAAATACGTCGGGCGATGGCCAGTCACCAGCTTCTTATGACAAATTGCGTTAAAAAAAATTTTTACGAATGATAATTTTTTTTCCGGGAAATTGCGTCTGTGCACGCACGAATAAATTGAATAGAAAAACAGCGAATTCGTTAGTCAATTGTAGTGGATTTCTATTGAACTTTCTATTGGTTTTTAGTCGATTCTATTGAAATATTATCTATAGAAAATAACATTGTTTTTTCTTCATTTTATTTTTTTTGTTTGCATTAAAATAATCAAACGAAAAAATTCAGAAATTTTTTTTAGAAATTTTTCTTTTCTTCATTTTTTAAAGGAAGAGAGAAGGAAAAACTGAGCAACCTCTAGAGGATGTTTTCATTGAAATAGTGAACTGGTTTGTCTGGAAATTTTCTTTATAAAAGAAAAATCCAGAGAAAAGCTGGGGACTTCTTCAACAGAATTGAATTCGATAGACAGTTCTCTGAATTTTTTTTCCAGAAATTTGCTAGTGCTACCATGAATACCGCGATATGCACCATGGGCCTGTACAAACTCCTACTATTCACTTACAAGCGGCCAAGTTTCCTACATTTCATTGGCTTCGTCAACAAAAATTTTTGGTGCAAAAGTTACCATCACAATAACGACGAGATTATGAACAAGTGCTTAAAGAAATGTACTTTCTACGTAATATTCATAGTGATCATATGTCACACGACACTGTTATTTTTTTTCATTCAGCCATTAATCGGTGACTGATTCATTGATAATTTATCGTCGATAAACTATCAGTCATTGAAAAATGTATGGAACAATTGATATTTGTGGTCCCCAGATAATCGAGGGAAGAACGAAAGCGATAGAGAGCTTCCGTTCGCTGTTTACACGAGTCTTCCAGTTGAGTTGACTCCTTGGTACGAGATAATCTTCACTGTAGAGGTATAATCTTTTGTATGAACAACATGACAGTTCAAGAATAAAATAGACTTGAGTCAAGTATACTTGAGTGGGGACGGGTGTTTTAATTCGAGGATAATTATTTCGTACCAATCCCGGTTGTACTAAGCGCTCTCAAGTGTAATGTAAGGGTCAAACACTAAATGCGAGAATATAAGGGTCACAAAGTGGGGGTTAAAAAATGAAGGTCGGAATATTAGAGTCAAAAACTGAGGGCCTGAAAAGGTGAAGGAATGATGGTCAGTATGTTAGGGTAAAAAAAAGAGCTTGGAATATTAGGATCAAAAAATTAACGTCATAAGATGCGGGTCATATAAGGGCTAAAAACGGTGATCAAGCATGCTATATGATTTATATTTAGGCCCTCATTGCCTGACACTCAATTTTTTTACTTTTATATTCTCACCCTAATGTTTTGACCCTAATATTCTGACCCTCATTTTTTAACCTCCATTTTTTGACCCTCATATTCTGATACTTAGTGCCTGACCCTTATATTACACTTAAGAGGGCTTGCTATACAGCCCGGCCTGATACAAAAGCATCATCACCGAATTGAAATACCCACCCCCCAATTGAATCAATTTTCGTTTCATGGATGTAATTTGTGTATTCAGTTTATTTCAGTATTTTATATATGCGTTTGTTACTTTTGCTTCGATGTTTTTCTCTACGGAGTCAATCTCACGCTGGTCGGTGAGTTCATAATATTACAAGAGGATCTCAAAGGCATCTGTCATTTCGATGAATTACCTGATCCCTCGTCGAAATATCGTGGTTGCATCTACTCCCAGTTCATAAAATGTATCAACCAACATCGATTGTTGACGTGTTGCGCTGATAATTTGAGAGAACTTTACAAAGATTGCGTTGTCAGTTTCGTTGTTATACTCAGTCTGCTAATATGTCTGGCAATGTATCAGCTCATGACGGTGAGATTTAATTGAATCATCGGCAGGGGCAACGGAAGGGCTCAGAAACACTAAGTAGATTTGTCATAAGGATCAAACGTTCGTAAGACCCCACTTGACCCTTATGACTTGTTCGACCCGTGTAATCCCAAATATGTCTGACCATACCTAAAAAAATCTCATTCCGTCGCCCCTGATCATCCGACAATACCAAAAAAACAGTGAAAATGAATTTTCAATCAACACTTCACACCCATTCCACATTGAAGATTCGCGGTAAACTGCTGTCTCAGATACATGCCTATATATATGTGACGAATATTTTGTCAGAGTTGTTTTTTTTCACCGCCACCTGTGATGATCTATCGCAAGCAAGTTCGGGAGTTGCTCAGGCGGCATATGCTGTGCCATGGATCTCCATTAGATCAGATGTTCTCAGGGGAAGATTGGTGAATGGCTTGAGATTGGTCATTATGAGGTCTCAAAAGCCATCGCAGATGACTGTGGGTGACTTCTCACCTGTTACACTCCAAACATTCACGTCGGTAAGCACGAAAAGACTATCATTTTTCTTACTGAATAATCGACAACTCATCTTACAGATTTGCAATCTGGGGTTTTCCTTTCTGGCTCTCATGAGGCAAAGCTAGTTTGCGTTATTATTCAATCTTAGAAATCCATAGAGACATTTTCAATTATCAGAGAGACTATGGTAGTAAATAATAAATACAGAGATGGAATCCAACGCAATCCATGTTGTCCTTCTTTCATTCTAGAATTTAATTGCAAAAAACAGGAATTATGTTCGGTACCTCTTCGACAAGGACTAATAGCGATCGAGTGAATAAATGCTTTAAACCTCCTGATTAATTCGCGATCAGAAATCATTTCTCCTCACATATCATCTTTCATGTCGTACCTGATGGGTCTCGTGTACCTCATCTCTCATTACAGTGAAGCTTCCGCCAGAGATTACTAGATGTTGGAGGGGTCACACAGCGATTCCAGTCACGAACATCCAGAGGATTGTCATTCGATTCAACAAACATAGCCCTCAGCTGCAGCTTCGTGGTAGGAGTCTGCTTCAAAAATAATGCAGTGTTTGAAAAATATTGACATTTCCAGAATATTTTACTAGTAACTTCTATCAGACTGTTAAAAATTACGAGCATTTTCTTTAAATAATTTATAAACAATCAATTTATCACCATAAAAATCATTTGTTCGGAATTCTAAAAAATTTATTCAGATTCCGAATTTTAACAGAAATCGTTTTCATGCCTGAACAAGCAGGGCAGAACTCCTATTCGGCAGAAGCCATGTGACTGTTTCTGCATGTGTTAGTAGTCTTTTTTTTCTACCAATTCCATTGGTAATAAGCTTCCGAATGGATCCGCAGTAATTCCAATTTCAAAAATGAGAATTGACAATTCCTATTCAACTTCCCGACTTTATCTGATGGATATTGTCGTTAACAAACTAATGAATATTTCATTTTTATTCTCCATTTTTTTCATTCATTAATTTTTGACTTTGGGGGGGGGAATTTTTTACTTTGAAGGTATACTAAGCCGGGAAGTTTCTCTAAGATTTTACTTCTTCGGGAACAATTAAGTGACAATTGCGTACTTTGTTCGGTGATGAACCTGAAAATTCACTGAACGTTTCAGATTTCTTCTCTTCCAATCCTGTAAAAATTGTCGGAAAACGATTCCCCTTTGCGGATTACGTGAATTGTTCCGTAATTTTTATTGAATATTTCCCTCCGTGTGTACCAAACAGTAGAAGATACTTCGATATCCTTAAGTTTTGTCATTACAGGATTTACTAAACAATGACGCATAATGCAGTGAAATTGACTGTTACAAACTCACCGAATTCATTATAATTAACATCAGGTGACACTCTCAAATTGCTGATAAATGATTTATAAATTGAATTTAATACTCCGTTGTGACGGAACACTGCGCACAACCTAATCCGCACATCTGGTATTTAAAATTCGATTCAAAGTCGATGCAGTGAATAATGAGAAATGCCCCAACGAATCTGAGAAACTGTGAAGCTATCAAACTCACTCGTTCCTGCAATTCACGCTCACCTGTTCTCTCCACGCACTGACTTCCCTCTCACGACTGAAATCCAAATGAATTCAAAGAGAGGGGAAATAATAAAGTTCCCCACGAGTGATTGACAGGAGGGATAATTTCCCTCATCTGTATTCCCAGAAAAATCGCCAATACCGATCGATCTGCGTCCGAGTGGGAGAATCCAGACGCCTGACAGCTGCACGTGAAGAGCCTCCCCGTGTGATATTGCGAAGTGAGAACAGCACAAAGAATCACATTTATTTTTTCCAAGAGTTAGAATAGCGATGCGCTCCGCAGATCTCGCGGTGATTAAAGTCATCGCTTTTTACATGAAATTCCCGGGGTTCTGGCCACTCGAGTCCGTGCACGCGAAGTGGTGGATGAATTTCATGGTGATTTATGCTATTGGTATAACACTGTTTTCGTTCTATGTGAGTGCAACCATCGTTTATCATAGTGTTGATGATTTTCAAGTGAGTAATTGTATTTTTTGGGTGCATTTGTCAGTAACATTGCATGATTGTGATCTATCGGAGGGGTTGGATGACATCATTATTTCAATTAATGGATTGAGGGGAGGTTCATCCCAGGAATTTTCCGCGTGATTATTCCTCAGAAATTTGTTTTTGTAGGCCAAATTTGTCTCCGACCGCTAAAAAGTGGAGATTCAATTTTTTAAAAATCGAAATATAGAATTAAAAAAAATCCCCAACGTATTTTTTCAAGTTTTTTCTAATATGATCACAAATTTTCAGAGAAGATCCGTTTTTAAGTTTATTGGTCAACCCAAACATGCTTTAGAAACATTAACAAACGAAGCTTATACATAATATTGAAACAAAAAATTTCATTTTTCTGGAGATATTAAAAGGAATTTTGATGAACGAATACATTTCAAAATGTATCTCCTTCCGAATTTTTTATAATTAAATGGAAAAAATTTGCGATCATATGTAAACAACTATTTTTAACAAACGCTAGGGATTTTAAATGAGTTTAAAAAATTTGAATCACTAATGTCGACTGGGCGGAGACAATTGTGACCGACAAAATTAGATTCCTAAGGAAACAGCACCCGGAAAATATTATTTTCCATGTTTTTTTTTTTTTGAAAAATGAAGTTTTTCTCCGGGATGAACCACTTAACGAAAACTCCACTGAAAAAACCTTTTTTCAACGGAACTTGATTGAAGAATTGTATTGGTTTTTTGACTGATTCAATGAAATTATGTTTTCATAGCCAAAAAAATATCTAGATGAAGATGTAGATAAGCTCCGAAATTTTTCAATAGAATCGGCCAAAAACTAATAGACATCCAATAGAATTCTCTACAAAATTTTTTCATACGTCAACCCTTACCATTGATGATTTTAGACGTGCAAACAGCCTCCTGACCATCATCCATTATAAGTCATCCAATATCTGCCCTCTTTGTTACTCTGCAGGAGAAAATTCTTTTCAGAGCCTAGTGAGTGCAACTATGAACAGCGCGATAGTTGTTATGGGCCTGTACAAACTCCTGCTATTCACCTACAAGCGGCCCATGTTCTTGGATTTCATCGTATTCGTCAACAAACATTTGTGGTACAGATCTCACGACCAGAATAATGATGAGATTATGAGAAAGTGCTTGAAGGATTGTGCGATCTACGTGATATTCATAGTGATCATCTGCCACATGACACTATCGTTTTATTTCATCCAGCCAGTACTCGGTAACTAATTCATTGATAATTTATTATCGGTAAACGATGGATTATTACGAAATAAAGGTGGGAACAAATGACATTTATGATCCCAAGATAATCGAGGGAAGAATGAGAGTGATAGAGAGCTTCCTTTCAAATGGTATACGACTTTACCGGTCGAGATGAGCCCCTGGTACGAGATGAGCTTCACCGTACAAGTTAGTCTGTTTTTCCGAAATGTTGGCTGGGATGACTGCAACACTAGATAATTGAATGCATGCATTCAGCTGATTTCAGTATTTTACGTCTGCGTTTGTTACTTTTGCTTCGACGTTTTTCTCTACGGAGTCAATCTCACGCTGGTCGGTGAGTTTATAATATTACAGGAGAATCTGAAAGGCATCTGTCATTTCGACGAATCACCCGATTCCACGTCGCAATATCGTGGTTGCATCTATTCCCAGTTCATAAAGTGTATCAACCAACATCGATTGCTGATATATTGCGCTGATAATTTGAAAGAACTTTATAAAAATTGCGTTGCCAGTTTCGTTGTTGTACTGAGTATCCTAATATGCCTGGCAATGTATCAACTCATGACGGTGAGATTTAATTGAATCATAAGCAGGGGCGACGGAAGGGCTGTGATGGGTATGGAGTTCTAAAAAATGACGGAAATTATGAAAAGATTCCGGAAAAAATTCGCTTCTGAGCGGAAGCGCTGAGCATAATTGTCATAAGGGTCAAAGGTTCGTAAGATTCCACTTGATCCTTATGACTTGTTCGACCCGTGCAATCTTAAACATGTCTGACCATACCACAAAAAATCTTATTCCGTCGCCCCTGATTACCCGAGTATACCAAAAAGACAAAGTGAAAATGAATTTTCAATCAACACTTCACACCCATTTCACATTAAAGATTCGCGGTAAACTGTTGTCTCAGATACATGCCTGTATATATGTGACGAATATCTTGTCAGAGTTGTATTTTTTCACCGCCACCTGCGATGATCTATCGCAAGCAAGTTCGGGAGTTGCTCAGGCGGCATATACTGTGCCATGGAACTCCATTAAATCACATGTTCTCAGGAGAAGATTGGTGAATGGCTTAAGATTGGTCATTATGAGGTCTCAAAAGCCATCGCAGATGACTGTTGGCGACTTTTCACCTGTTACACTGCAAACATTTACGTCGGTAATTATGACAGTAATTGACTTATTCCTCAAAATTGGTAATGAATAATTTCTTATTTCACAGATTTGTAACCTATCGTTTTCTTTTCTGGCTCTATTGAGGCAGAGCTAGAACACACGAAAAAGCGAATTTTAGAAAAACTTCAACGCAATCGTGATGTATGGAATTCCATCAAAATTATTCCTTGTATCAAATTTTCTTCGGAATTCTCTCGACCGTCACCGTTGAAAACTGGAAACACATGTAGATATCATTGCATAAAAAAACTACAGTCACAAATTGGTAGTTCAGTCGATTATCAATCACTTTTTTCCTTCATTACTTCGATAAAACAAATTTCCACACGATTAAATTCTCTGACGAACTATGGATGGAAAGAAATTTAAAAAAAAACGGGACGAGATTTTGCCATGAAAGTCACAGCGATGCGCCCTCCATGAGTAATTAGATTCCAATTGGGTCATTGAAACAGGACATTTATCCGCCCTCGTGTAATGGACACTGATGAAGATTCTCCCCCATAATATTGCGAATAAAAAGTTGCGTATGCTCTCCCCTCTATTTTTCAAACTTGGAAAAAAACACTGTGCACCCCGCAAACCATACGGCCATAAAAGTAATTGTCTTCTACATGAAGTTCCCGGGGTTCTGGCATATGTTTTTGCTGTTTAGTCTTAAACAATTTTGATGTATCTTCAGCTTTTTCCCTCACATTTCCTTCCTAAATACATCACTTGGCCCCAGCATCCGTAAGAGGAGCCAGACACCAGAGTCATACCTGAATGCACTTCAAACTATCATCACTTCATTCACCGCTATTTATTTATAAAATAATTGATCTAAAATGAATGCAAAAATCAGGGAGTCGTCGCCTTCCGTTCAATGGCTCCTCAACAACAGGAAAAGTTATGAGAAAAGAACGGCGACCGCAGCAGGTGTGATGTGCAGTTCTTCCTAACGCCAATATTCCTTGCAAATGAAACAAAGAGGCAAATGTAGAAATCGAAAAAATACCCCTCGACGACTGTCATTTAGAATTGCAATTTCTCGAGAAATGATTGACAGTGAGCGGAGTTAACGTGGGAAACCGTGGTGTGTACCGAACAGGGATAAACGTGGCCTGTCATTCATACGTACTTTTTCCCCCACTTGCAACTGAATCCACACGCACAGTGTCTGTGACCACTCGACAAAATACTCTTGTCATGCTTCGTAACTACTACCCGAGTCGAGGATTTGGTTCTGATTGGACGTACACAGGTCTTTCAAGATCTCTCCAGACCTAGATGGACCTGGTAAGTCTGAATCAGTTCTGCGACGTACTTTTCCAGAGACCATTCGAATCCTCAGTTCTTTTCGGTCCTGAGAAGCCCTCCTCGATGCTACCGAGAACGCGTGATTTTACGATCAGGTGAAGGGGAAGGCATGTATGCGGAGGGTTGAAATTTGTAGCCAACGAGGAGACAGGGTTGCAGAATATATTTTAGCCACCCTCATCTCCCCGTTTGCAGGCGGTGTTTAAATAAAAAATAGTGAACGTTGATTCTGTATTTATTGACCCCCTGATGCCAATGAAACCCTCGGAGGTGACAGAAATGGGGAAAAAAAAATTTTCAGTTTCACGTGGGTCAAGGGTGAAAGTCGATTTTCGCCAAAATTGAATTTTTTCGCCAAGTGAAAGTTGATTCTGTATTTTCTAACAATTCTGATGCCAATGAAACCCCCGAAGGCGCGACAAAAG